ACCACCACAAAACAAAAAAACACACACGCAAAAAAAAAACCCAAACAGCAACTTGCCTATGCACTGTGGAAGAACAACCTTCTTTACCATGGGAAAGTTCTTTCTGCTTGCTTTTTGATGTCATCTTGGATTAGAAAAGCAATATATTGTTCCCCCTTAACCTTGTTCAGGATTTCATTGTATATTCTATTATGCTATTTTTCAGAAATATAGTTCTGTTTTTTTTGTTTGAAAACTTATCCTTAAAGGATAGCAAAGCCAAAGAGTGCATTTCAGTTCTTTGTGTCTTTAAGAAGCATAGAGATCAATCAATTATGTGTGAAGTATTTTGAAGTATGTAGTGAACTGTATGGATATTCAGTCCATTTGATTGAAGCAACCATATTCGACATAACTTCAGGAGCTTGACTTTATTCAGTGGGCTAATGATGATCAAAAAATAAACAGCTCTGCGCCTTCCCCCCCCCCCCCTCCCCCAGCTGGTTAGAGTCATCTCAAAAATAAACTGAACAAGGAACAAAAATGATCTCTGCATCTCTGCTTATCTTTTATCTAAATAATGCCAGTTTCACAACAATAACGTACAGACTACATTTCTTAAAACACTTAGACATGTTTGCAGCAAATCTTGTTTCCAGGACTTAATACAGAAGTGTTAAAAAGCCTTCTCACATGTATACTTGTCCTGGGTTTTGTCCTTTGTCCTTTTATAGTATAGGCTGTTCTCTGGAAGGGAGCTGAATGAGGAGGATCATGATCAAAATATCTGAGGATAATGATCAAAATAGTTGAGGATCATGATTAAAATTTCTGAACAGAAGAAAAGACAATATAAGATACTGCTATATACTGTCAGTCTGGATTTCAGAACTGAATTGGTATAATGCATACAATTTCACTGTTCTTGATATAATAATGAAATTGAAACTGGTTAACTTTAAAAAAAAAAAAACAAACCTAAATTATCTTTCACACCTAAACATTTAATTAGATTAATGGCACTAGAAGCATAGCAATGTATCTCAAGGACAATAGCTGAAAATAACTTACATACTGATCTGCTTTTAGATGATCAGATAATGTATCAGTCTTATTTTGTTACCTGCAGAATAATTCCATAATCTTTTGTGGGACAAATCCATGTTCACAGGAGTCAATCATATATGAAGTCCTGTCTGTTTGTAGGTCTGAGAATTTTAATTCTCAATCTTGGAATGTATAAGGAAGAGCAGAACCTTGTAAAGGGCTTAAACTGTTTTCCTTGATAGGATCATTTCTGTAATTTTGTACGCAGAAAAAGCTAGTGCAAAGCAAAAGTCTTGAAACCAGAAGACTTAGAAGTTGCAAAAGCCACGTTCCCTTTAACTGAGAGTCCTGAAGAAACTTCAGAATGAAGTTTAATCTAGCTGTTGCCAGTATCTTATACAATCATATTAAAATTTTCTGTTCAGTTAGGGCCCTAGAAAATAGTAAGCTTACGTCAAAGGAGGGAGTACTAGGTACACTGTGGTCTGCAGGCCCTGGTTTTAGGTAAGTTGAAAATAAAATGAAACATTGAGTTATAAGTTGTACCTTGTTCAGTAGGCTGAGGACAAATTGAATTTTTGTAGGGACAAGTAAACTCAAAGGTTAAGGATAACTGAATGTCAAAAAGGTCTTTGAAAGTCTCACTAAATTCATAGTCCTCAGCAGAAGCTGTTGAAACCTCAACTGGTAAGTTACACATCCACAGCTTGCTGACCTTGTTTGCCTGCCGACTGTTATGGGATAGTTTTGTCCATCTGTATGTTGAACGAATTTTGCCTTTCTGGTCACCTTGTTCTATGGGTCTGTGCCGCATAGCATGTTGATCATTCTAATCATCTCCTGTGATTCATGGCTTCCTCACTTGTGGACTGTCTTTAATCTTTACTTTTTCTTGTATGTTCTCTGGGGCTTCCTTTACTGCTCTGCAGCCACGTCTTTACTGTGTTTCCTTTACTTGTTCTTCACTTATGGTAATGGTCCCAGCTTTGACTGTGTGCTTTCTCCTTCCCACTTGGCGACTACTGTATTCTTCTGTTTTGATCCCATGCTGCCCCAGCCTCACCAATTCAGTTTACACCCTGTCGGCTCGAAAGGGAAATGCCTGCTCTGTCTGTTAAGCGCTGTGGATAATAATTTCTTTCCCTTTCATCTTTCTTGTACGTAATGAAGCTGGTTCTGAGAGCTGTGGAAAAACATCAGATTTCTCTGAAATTCTTACCCAGCCTCCACTCTCAAGTTTACTTTGTGGGATTGTCCTGGTCTCTTAAGATGAATGACAAGTCCACAGCTAAGCCACTTTGCTTTCATTTTGTCCAATTAATAGTTTCTCCTGCTTTCTTGCACTAGTCTTTCATATGATCTTAGGGTATTTCATAGATCTTGTCACCACTTTTTCCTTTCCCTTCTTGTCTTTCTGTGCTGCTTGTTAAGCCCTCCATTCCAGGAAGATAAAAGGTGATGACTCATGGAAATTTCTAACTACTTATTCAGATCAAATCCACATAGGTCTCCAGTTCAGGCTCTTTCACCAGCTTCGTTGTTGAAGTATACATTCACTGTTTTCCTCTTCCGGATAACTCTTCTTCCCATCTTAATGCTTTTGGTAGCCCAGATTTTTTTCATTCTTAAACCATTTTATCTTCAGTATATTTTGCATGGCATGTAGGGGGAAGTGAAATAAGCTGGTAGCTGACACTCCACTTTGCACTGTGTGTGTTCCCCTCATGTAGGTGATCTCAAGTCTTCAGTTAATGTTGTGGCAGTTAAAGCTGCCTACTAATTTATTCAGCCTGTTGAATTCTGTCTTGACAGACATGCAGTAGAAGGCCTGCAGGTTCAACTTCAAAATAACAAACACATTGTTTCCTTCTCAAGTATCTATCTTAATTCTTAGTCATTTGGCTGTGCTACCAAACATTTATCGCAGCTCAAAATCGACTTTTTCCTCTGCCAGAGTGCATACCTCTGAGGTGTGTCAAAATCCTACCCTTTCTTTCAGAAGAAGGGCAGAAAATTGATTCTTAGTCATTGCGCTGTTATTGTGTCTTTCTGGCACTTTTGTAACACTTTCTAGGTCCTGTAAATGCTTCCTCCTTATCTTTGTTGTGTCTCAGGCCTTCTGTTTTTATGCTTCCAGACAGACTGTAGCTTCCAGAATTGTATTTGTTGCTTATTAAGTTCACCATCTTACAATTTTCAGTATTTGAAATCTAAGACCGGTAATTCAAATTTGGAGTCGTTCAGGACAACATTGTCTTTCTGCATAGTGATAATGGCATTGTCAAGGCAACCCTCCCTCGGTTCTCTTACAAACACTTGCATGGCTTGCTTCGTTGATACTTATGCATAGAGCTAGAATGAAGCTATTCATCCTCCTAGCCTCTTTGAGAGTTTGCTATTAACAAGATATTTCCTAGAGATTAACAGTTTTCTGGTAATACTTGGGGGAGAATGTCATTCTGAGGAGGCTGCTGGTCATGAAATAATAGAATTAATATTGTCTTCCACTATACTTAGTATTGACCACTTTTCCTATGTCTTTGGATTTCAATATTTTTGAGATACAGCTTTGTAATTCTAACTTGGAAATTCCTTTATAAATACTAAGTGCTTTTCAAAATAAAATGTGTATAAGAGTTTGAAATCTTTTGTGGTTTTAAAACTGTCTAAACAGGGTGAGAATATATATCTGACCTTCAATGAAACAAGTCCTGGCATTGTGGTATTTGTATGAGGCAATGTCGTATTCAACAACCAAAATTGGAAATAAGCTAACAGATACTGTGGCTAAGTTTGTCATGTCTAGGATAGCATTTTTAACAAAAGAAAATTTCAGAGAACTTTGTAAGAGAAGTAGGTTTTTGAGCAGGGCACTGTGGCTAGAGTTGGTACTAAATGTAGCATGTGTTGGAACATATGAACACATCCAGTGCACTGCAGAGATTGATATTCACGAAAACTGTGGCAGTCTTAATGAAACAAAGCATATAATCTGAGAGGGTTTTTAGGCTTAATTTACAAAAACATCTCTACTGTCTTCAGTCCTATGCCCTGGATATAACATCCAATTCTGTAAAATTCTGATATAGATTAGGCTTCTTCCACTGTGATACAGTGATTGTTCATCTTTTTTGAAAATATGGAAGAAATAGGTTCTGAAAAGAACTGTAGCTATCATTTAGAGATAACTTAAAGGGCCTGTGATAAAAGTGTATGACTAACAGAAGGTAACTTAAACTGCACATTGTCTAATAAAACTGAAGGGTATTCAATAGAAGTATGAAACTTGAAATTTAAAACCAATAGAGGCAGGTTTTGGTGGGGTGTGGGTTTTGGGGTTTTGTGGGGTTTTTGTTGTTTTGGGGGGTTTGGGGTGTTTGTTTTTTGTTGTTGTTGTTTTTTTACAAAATTTGTTTTCAACCAGTGATGTTGCTGGTATGCCTATAAGGCTGTCGTAGACGAAAACTAATAATTCACTATGTGCCTGCCTACTTCCTGGACAAAAACAACCAGTGAAAAATCAAGTGAAGTTGCTCGTAGGCAGGAGGTGTATCATTGTTCATATGGTTTATGTATCTTGAGATCTAACATCTAGCATAATGTAACATGCTCTCAGAGACAGAATATTGGGGGGATAACGTTTAAAAGTTTTTGGTTTTGTCTTTTTTTTTTTTTCCTTGGGGAAAAGCCTCTGTGGCCATCCTCATTTCCTTCAAAAGCAGTATTTTAGTGGTGTAATCCTGCCTTCTTCTGAAAAAAGGGCATTGTTTTGAAAGTAGAACGTCTTTGTTCTGTGATATTAATGTTCTGTGCCTTGGCCAGTAAGTTTTCAATAGCATTACTATCCTGTTTCTATTCTAGCAAGCTTTGCTGTGTACTTGTATATGATTTTTCATGTATAGGGCCTGGTAAATGAAGTACGTATTCATTTTATTAAGAAATGCTGATAAACTCATTTTCTTTTTCCTGCCCAGTATGATGAATTGGTTCCTGCATCCTTGACAACCAAATATGGAGGATTTTATATCAACACTGGTACACTGCAGTTCCGCCAGGCATCTGACTCAGAGGATGAAGACTTTGCAGAAGACAAAAAGCATAGGCCACCTAAAGTGAGTTATCTTAATTATGCTTTCTATACAGAACTTACAGCTAGGTTGACATTGGGAAATATTTGATACTCTTAGAATGGCTCAGCTGAAGAGGCTGAAAGCAGAATGATGCACAGTACTGTTTTATTGGATTTTCTGTTTTGTGGCTCATGTACTAGCATTTGGGAAATAACTGTCCACAGGCTGTCCAGTCTTGTAAGACTAACCATCTGTTTAGGCAAGCTAACAAGTTGTGTCCATCCATCTTGAAGTGACAGATGATTCTGTAATTTTACAGGAATTTTATTATATGAGATAAGAACTTACATTCTCCAACACTGCTTTTATGGTTTTGCACAAAGCTCGCATGATTTGAAATTGTTCCCAATATTCAGAATAACACTTAAAACAACGTATCTGTTAAAATAAACTTGGTGCATAAGAGTAGCTATATTAAAAAGTATATATACAGTCTTTCCCAAACAGTGTGCTGTCCTGTGTACTTTGACAAGTTATGATCAATGTGAACATAATTGCTTGTGTGTGATGTTCACAAGTTCCATGCAATTCCAAGAACTTTCTGCTTTCTGATGTCCTTTCCTGCTCTATAATTATTTAAATTTAATATAATTTTAAGGGTCTTGTATTGGATCTGACTGGGATGGAGTTAACTTTCTTCATAGCAGCCCTTATGGTGCTATGATTTGGATTCGTAACTAAAATAGTGTTGATAACGTACCAAAGTTTTGTCTGTTGCTGAATAACATTTGCACAGTGTGAAGGCTTTCTTTTTGCCTACCCTGCACCAGCAGGTAAGCTAGGGATCAGCAAGAACTCGGGAGGGGAGACAGCTCATCTGAATTGGTCAAAAAGATATTCCATACTATGTAACCTCATACTCAGTAATGAAACTGTGGTAGCAGAAGAAGGTGCGGGGCATTCAGTCTTCCAAGGTGGCCATTGCTCATACTGGCTGGGCATCAGTCTGTGTGTGCTTTAAAGTGTTTTATTGAAAACTCTGAATTCAGTAACTGTTTAAAAATGACTAATCATTGAGACTTGTCAGTAACTGCAATTGCTGCTAGGAATCCAGTGTACTGTTTGCCTTTACACACATTGAGGTATTTTTCCTGGCTCTGAATTGGAAAGTTTCTTGCTGTAAAAGTCCTTTAGGGTGGAAGAATCATTGTCCTTTAATTGATCTCTCTTCTAGATAGCAAAGTTGAAAGAAAGTGAAGATCATGGAATGAAGAAGCGCAAGCGGAAAGACGAAGGGACAGAAAAGGAGAAGAAGCCTCGGAAAATGAAAGTTCCTAAGCAGTTGGGGTAGGTTTCTTACTTTAGATGAACCTTTGAATTGTATGTAAGGTTTGGTTTCAAGATTGTGTGCCATAGCAGGATTATCACAGCTGTTCAGAACATTGTGTTTTTAAACTATAATTAATAGCTAGTAGATTTTGGTTTGGGAATTTGTGTGGGTTTTTTGCATTAAATAAGTCCTACAAGCTAATTTTTTTGTCCCCCAAAATTTTGAACAAGGAATAATAAAACAAGGAGAGACAAATTATAGAAAAGAAATTTTGAGTCTGAGTAGCACTATCCATCATTGTTCTACCCAAAGTCTTACATAGCACTAAGAATTACATCTTCGAATGAAAAATAATTTTCTTCCTAGCCCTTGGTTTTTAATCTGGAAAACTATATACACATAGCTTGATTATTCTACATGTTTCTTACGAACTTTGTGTGTGCTTTTCTGAGTTCTGAGGCTAGCATGGAAAGATTAAGGTGGTGGGTTTTTTAATTGGCTTCTAGAAAACTGTTATTGAGTGAAAGTTGTCTTATTCAAGTCGGTATTGAAAATTTACTGATAGTATTTTTCATCAAGGTGATGAATTGGTGAAAAATGCTCAGTTTAAGTAGCATATAGATGTTGAGCCTGCATGCATTCTCTTAATTAGCAATTAAGAGAATTTTTTAACATACATGGTGTGCCTAAACTTAAAAGTAACCTACCACCATTCAGGAGTCTGAGAGTCAAGTTTAAGTATTTCAGTAACAGCTGTGAGTTTAACAACTGTGCCAGCTTCTCCATAATTAAATTGAGAAGTCAAAAGTAAACAACCTTTGCCTTGATGTGTATAAAACTTAGCAACACAAATCAGTTGGAGAGCATGAAATCATGTGACCAGCAATGGTTTGTGGTAGTTGATAGAATAGTCTGAAGATGGAAGCACAAAGTACTCACTTCTTCCCCCTGATAATTTTTTTAATTGTACTAAACTCCCAGATTTTTGTTAAAGGTTACTAAGGCCTCAAAAGTCACATGCATTCTAATGAAAGATTTTTCTTCCACAGAGTAATGGCCTTAAATTCACACAAGTCTGAAAAGAAGAAAAAGAAATTGTATAAAGATTCACTCTCTCTGGCTGCCATGATCCGTAAATTTCAAAAGGAGAAGGAAGCCATGAAGAAGAAGGAATCTAGTCCAAAACCTCCAGTGACTGTTGCAACCTCTACCCCTAGTAAAATTCCTTCCTCCTCTCTCAGTGCAGGAAACGATATCTCTGACTTGAATCTTAGGATCAGTGATCCTGTCCTCTCCATTTTTGGTAGCACAAATGAACGTGAGCTCCTGCAAGAAGCTGAAAGTGCCCTGGAGATGCTGGGAGACATTGACTTTGACAAGTTGCTTGATGGCACTTCTGATGGCAGCCCAGTATCTGAGCTGTCAGGAGAAAATGGAAATGTCACTCAGGCAACCTACACCTCTCAGGTCATGACACCCAAGCAGGTGCCTGCCCTCCCAGAAGGTCTGCCTATGCTACTTGAAAAGCGCATTGGAGACCTTCGAACAGTAAGTATGAATTCACTGATACGGGATTGCATTCAAGAATCTGAGAGAACAACGAAGAATAATTAGAGCCTAGGTTGTCATCCTTTAATTGCTTGCTGAAACTCTAAAATGTAGAATTGATCTTAATGTCAGTCTTAATGGCTGTATTGATACTTAGATGAAAATGGGCAAGGAGATGATGCAGGTCAATTGTTAAAGCAGTGTTTATTTCGCAGTGGAGACAAGGTTTTCTAAATCTGTGTACAGTAACTTGTAATGTTTGTTTGGATTTTTCCATAATGGAAATGTCAGTGTTACTTTAACTTGAATTATTAGTTGGTGAAATGGATGGGTGCTTCCTTACTTTGGAGGAGGAAACCTGAAATATATGATTGCAGCTTACAAATCAATGTCTTGAATGTTTGGCTTTGTAACATGAATGCTAACTTGCCAGTTTAAAAAACAACAACAACAGTAAAGAGCACCAAAAAACACCACCCAACTACAAAAACAAACAAACAAAAAACCCCACAACCACAAAACTGAATATTTTCTTATATTTTCGTTTGGAAGGTTAGAATGGAGTCCAAACTCATCAAAAATATTAAAGTATTAAATCCACAGGTTACAAACATCCCAATAGCTTATTGAAAGGGATCAGAGCTGTTAAGGTATTATATACTCCTTGTTTCAGTTGTGGATGTTATCTTAAGTTGAGAATAAATTTGTTGTTTGATTGTCCAGGTTCTGATATATTAAAGCTTTTCCTTACTCAGAATAAAGTGCAGCTTTTCCTTACTCAGTAAGTTTTGAAAAAGCAGTTCAAGTTACTACCTTTTTGGAAAAAAACAATTTAAACAGTAGCAGAGCTTGCTTTGCTACAGGTTAGAGTAATGATAGAACGTAACGTTTATCTTACCTATATGTAAATGTCGTATAGTGTTCTTAGTTATTTTTAAATGTGCAAAGCTAAATACAGCCAAAGGGTTAATATTTACTAAAGTGAGAGAGGTGAATTTGTCTACGTTTGAATATTCAGGTTAATTTTGCTGTGAATCAGCAATAAGTTTCTAGCAAAACTGTAGAACAACTGGATTAGGCCAAAAGTCAGGAAGTGTTAGTGGCTCGCCCCAAATTCATGCTGCTTCACTGTATGACAAGCCCCACCCAGTTGGAAGAAAGCTTTAATTCAGTGGCTCTTGGAAAACCTAACTCTTTCTATCTTCTGCTGTTGATAATGTCTTCTAGAAGTTTGGTGCTGGCTGAGCAGAGCATGTCTACCCATACACCTGGGGAAAATCTAGATTGTGTGTTGATGTAAAGATTGCAACTTCCTTACCTTCTGCAAATTGCAGTCAACTGACACGTTATCAGTGGGGGAAAACATCTAACAAGCAGGAAAAAAGAAATGGGTCTTGTCAAATACCTACCAGGCACACAGCTTTAGTGCTCTTTAGTGCAAGGAAAGCTAAGAAGTTTATAAAGCTGTAGGAAAAAGCTTATGTTCCATGAATAGAGTATGATATATCTAGATAAAAAAAAAAAATTAGAAAGCCACTGACTAAATACAATAAAAACCTCCTGACTTCCTTTTGTAGATTAATATCTTCTAGTTCCCTAAGTGGGCAGTTCTGAACTACCATGACAGAAGACAATATTGTACACAAGCAGGAAAGTAATAAAATGGTTTTTTTTCTATTGTCAAGGTAACTATCAAGATAATCTGTCTGTGAGGGGAAAAAAAAAAGGAAAAAAAAAACAGTTCAGTGATAGCAATGCAGTTTTTGAATCTGCCAATGTTGCTCTCTTCAAAAGCCAGCAACGCTGTCCAGTATGATAGTATAACGCTGAAATCGCCTTTTAAGGTCTACCTGGGACTGACATGTCAAAGCATATCTTTCCTTCCACTTTATATAAACCAGAAGATGATGATAATCCTTGTGTTAATTATGCTTAAAGATACCAGATTTAAGACTTTCAAACTTGTCTTTTTGGTATCCTGTCACTTGTAAACATCCATAACTTTTCTAATTTTTTTAGCAGGACAAATGCTTCAGTATTCTTAAGCAGTTAGTACCATCCCCTCAGCAGCTGAATTTACAGTAGAAAGTAGTGAGCAGAATGCAGTCCTTACAGGAACTTAAACTCCGGTATCAGTGTTCATAACTGAAGCAGTAAAGCATTCAGACAATGGGCTACCTTATGGTTTCTGATAAGAGTGTCACTCCTGTTTTCCTGTGCAGTGTAGAGTTTACAATTCAAGAAAATATTTTTGTTTCAAACTTAAATGGGTCAGTTACAAAGAGCAAGAACAGTGAGTATTTCATAGTAATAAAGGAATTTTATCAAGTTAACACTTGCATTTATTTGTAGTTTTTAGCTATGTTGTCACAAGTCACTAAAATTTTTTTTAAAAGGCAGAATTAGAGATTTTTAATTTATTTGAATATTCAGCCTCATAGCATGTTGGCTGCCTCTAATGTTTGTCAGTCACTATAATGATACCACACTTGCCTATTTTTCTGCATGCATATCCTTTTCCAGCTCCTTTTGGATATTCACTGTCTGGTCCCAGTGCCAGAATATAAGATGAAACTAAGCCTCTAAAAGTGGGTTTGTTTTTTTTTTTTTTCCTCTTGACTTCTGTAAATCTGCAGAGTGGATGAACACTAGAGAGAAGATCTTACTGATTTTTGTAGAATGGTGCAGGGAATTGGCTTTCTCCTACAAGCTGTCATTGTTTGTGAAAATAAGAATCTAGGTGATAAGAACAAAGATAAAGGGATTCTGCATGGGAATTCCTGCGAGATCAGTAAAAACTCCCGACTCAGGAGGAGACCAGACAAACAGAGATATAGTCTAAAGATGGTGAAAATGCTGGACAGCACCAGAAAAGAGGGATGAGGTATTCCTCTAGCATACATAATCCCTTTGTAGGAATTGCAATGAAGGATTGAGATGGATCTAAAAAGGCTGGGAAGTTGTAACTGCGTGAGACACATAACAGAGGTAGAAAAGGAGCCTTTCATAGACTGAGAGTAGGGATGTGATGATGATCTTGCCTGCTTGACTTGTCAAGCAATGCTCCTCTTTTTAAAGCAAACAGGGGTAGTGGAATGTTGCTGGTGGTGAGATAATAAAACATCTCTACCATTTTCTTTCTTCCTGGTTCTTGAAAAGATAAATGTGTTAATATCAGTGATCCAGGCAGATTCTAAATGGAATGATTGTTTGCCCTAGAGCAAGGCACTTTTATTTGAGTATAATAACAACAATCCTCACCTTTTTTTCTAAACAGCTGAGTATAGTTTGGTTTTGTTTATTTTTTCCAAGTAATACTGTTCTCTGGAAAACAAGAATGTGATACATCTGTAAAAGTAAAGATACAAAGCTTGTTAGGATAAAATGCTCTATGAACTTTTGGATACTCTTTATTGCTGTATTTTCAGGCCGCCAAGATGTTTGATGAAGAAGGCAGGAAGAAGTTTTTCACACAAGACATGAATAATATTCTGCTGGAGTAAGTGCTTATCTGTACAACCTTCCCTTTTTGGAAAGGGGGTGAAAGGAAAAGTACAGAAGAGGAAATATTATTGAGGTTGTTCCAACAAAGCCCTTAAAAGTCAATGAAGGTAGATCAGTCTAAGCTAGTTACTAGCTAAAGAGATTTATATATGAATACAATTCCTGTCATGACTATTTGTCTGTCTTTATCCAGTGTAAAGTGTTTTGTAGTGCCCTGTGTCCTTGACTTCATGTGTAAAAGTCAACAAAACTCCCATTATTTCTTCCTGTTCCCCACTTTCATAACTCAAAACACCTTCAGCTTTCGTGAAGGAAAATGCCAGCTCTTTTCACTCTGTAATCCTTCAACTAAGCATTTGATATAGAAGGTTTGTATTTTAAGAAACAAAAAATAATCTCTAGAAGACTGTAGCAGTCAAAATTGTATCAAGATTGATGTGCAATGGTGGGTGTAAACAAAATTTGAATGACGGTGTTCAGCATTGCTGGAGATGTATGTATATGAATGTTTTCTTGCCATTGATTAAGACTTCCTCCTTTTGTAAAAAAGTTTATCCGAAAGTGTCCCAAGCTGCTATTTTTAGTATGCATAGGTAGAATATATTATGCATACAAAGCTTCCTTAGGTTTTTGTTCAGGTGTCATATTCATCTTGGAGTGCCTCACCGGTTGACTGTCTCTTGTTTCTTTGTCAGTATTGAGCTACAGTTACAGGAGATAAATCCTGCCATCCGCAATGGAGTGTACTCTCACCTTGAGGCTTTTGTGCCATGCAATAAGGACACACTGATAAAGCGCCTGAAGAAGTTACACCTCAATGTCCAGGTAATAATGAGGAGATTAGCTCCAGCATGAGTCGGTTTTGTAATAGTGATGAGGACAGAATGCAGGAGAGTAGAGCAACAGCCATACAGTCTCCAGTAAAGCAAAAGATTTTTTGGATCAGTTGCTAGATCAGCTTAAAAGCTTTTTTTTCTGTGTACCTCCTATTGTCACTACTTTAGCAACAAATACTTCAAGTATTTCAGACCCTTTATTTGAGAATGAAGTGCTTTCATCTTGAAAGCTGAGTACAGGGTACATATCAAAGTAGCAGAACTAGAAAGCCACAATAATCATGATTATGACAGGCTAAAAAAAATACTATTGCATTCACTTTTGTGTCAAGAAAAAAGAAAGGCTAGATGGATAATAGATGACCTAGCCTGTACTGTTTGTGCAAGTTTGCCCTTGTGGCTAGGTCTTACAGATACTTTATATGTCACTTGCAGTTGCTTTTCTCTTAAAAGAATGTTTTCCTATTGAATAAAAAAGTTATCTGTGATCTGAAGTATCTGGCCCAATTCTTTAGCTGAAATCCAGGACTAAATCTTGCAGAGGATCTGAGGATCCTGAAAGCAGAGGTCTCAGAACTTGCTAAGAAGGCAAACAGGTGCGTTTGCTATTTCTAAGCAGTAAGACCTAATAGCACATAGTATTCTAGTTCTTCTCAATATGCAGTTATGATGAAGAACGTAAAGTCAGAAGATGTAGGAAGAGAATTTAAAACATGTAGGGCAATATATAATGTATTACTTCAAACATTAAAGTTCTTAATAATTGGAGACAATTCTAAATACATAGTCCTTACCTTTGAGGTACGTAAATTACACATAACAATAACCTAATACTCAGATAATCTAATACATATATTTTGTTCATTACCTAGGATGTTTTTATAGAACAGAGTTTTTGGAGACTTGATTAACTGGATACTTATTTGCAAGTGTTGAGATGCTCGTTGGTCAAGTCATCTTGCTTTTTCCCTCAGGTTTCCTTCCCTTCCCTATTTCAATTAAAAAGTATTGTTTAATGAGATCATACCATACTGTTTTGGGATATTCATGATATGTTTCCTTGTGACTATCTTTTCACTGTTTCTGGTCTCAACACTTACATGAGTTGTATGAGAAATTTCAAGTATGTGCATTTCCATAATGCTGTTGCACCTAACAGGATTCAAGTGCCATGTAGGAAATGGCTGTTGCAGTCAATAGTTAGTACTGGGAATATTGCCTCAGAGATGAACAGGAAATAATTTTTGTGAAACTATCTGAAACACTCTTTACACTGCATCTAATAGGACTGCTTTGGTGTTTCTCTTTTCACAGGATGACCGCTTGAGAGAACCACTGCAAAAGCTGAAGCTGGCTGTCAGTAACGTCATGCCTGAACAGTTATGCAAGTATCAAGAGGACTGTCAGGCCCGCAATCAGGCCAAGAATGCCAAGTAGGTATTTCTGGAGCCTGTGCATGCCCATTCTAGAGTCCATCTGGAAGTCTGTTTCCATGTTGTTCATTCCCTGAGCTCAGCAAAGTAGTCAAGTCCAGTTTACAGGTGTCTAAGTTTTGAATTGTACAAAATACTTAGTTTTGTGTAAATCATGTTATTGCCTGACTCTAGAAAGAAATTCCATTAACTGAATGAAATAGGTCTTGAGAGAAAGAAATTATAAACTGTGAGAAGGATACTGGAGATTCTCAGAATGCTGGATTAATGGAGGAGGATGGTGTGTTCAGGTTCTTGATATACTTGTCCTTGTTCATTGTAATAGTTTCCCTCGTAGCTAACTAATTTTAGACTTGGAAAAGCATTAATAGCTTGATAAGCATCCTGCCATTTCCCAGTAGATGAAGGTTATAGCCAGCATCCTTGGTAGCATCCATGCAGTGTGTCCTTTTCCTGTGTCTCTGAGGACCATGAAGCAGTGGGGAGAGAGATGAATGGGTTACCCTTTCAGGAAGGGTATAATGAGAATCTGGAGACAGGTCTTCCCCCCCCCCTAAAATGACACTCCTTTCTCAAGGAAACATTTTGTCTGTGTTGTATATCTATAAAGAAAACAATTATTCTAACCATAGGCTGCAAGCGGAAGATGAACGAGAGAAAAATGGATCGGAGGAAGATGATGATGAGAAACCTGGAAAGAGAGTTGTGGGACCCAGAAAGAAATTTCATTGGGATGACACAGTGAGGTGAGACAAAACTACCTTTTCCACCAAGAATTTTCACTGACTTCATAAAGGGATCTCCAAAGGGATGTTACTACATGATACCGATTAATAAATAATTGTTCTCAGAAGTACACCTCGGAAGTTTTGGTGAGTGTTGGGGCTAAATAGGCAAGCTAGAATGCTGCAATGGTAAAACACCCTTTTCGTTAACTTGAAAAGCAAGATCATCCTATGTCCAACCCTTTTTTCACTGCTTTTTTATCTGCTTTATCCAAATACATGAGAATTTTGCTCGTCCTAGGACTTAGAGCCTCTTTAAGCAAAGAACAGATGTGTAAGCAGAGTTATACCTGCTTCCCACCGTTCTAGGAATAGGTCACCAAACTCTGTCATGCAACGAGCAGTAAAGATTTCTGCCACAATAGGGCAGACCACCAAAATTGGTGATGCTCATTTGACAAGCCTCCCAGTCCCTGGGCAAGCCAGCATTGAAAATGCATGAATCTTAACCCCTCCCATCCCCTCTGAACACAAGTTCTATGTTATCTCTTAAGAGCAACACAGATTCTCGGCTGAAATGATGAATTCTTACTGTTCTGTTTCCTAGAACAGATTTTACTGAAAACTGAGGTTACTATTATTTAAATAATCTAGATAGGCTTTTAAGCAAGCTGGTCCTTCTAAATTAGTAATTTCCCATGTAAGACCTAAGGTAATTTTAGTATAAGTATGCATATTATTAAAAGGGGCTGGTGGACCTCTCACAATGAGTCTTTTTAGTATGTTAAGACAACAGGGAAGCAAGCTTCATGGAACACATACAACCAGTATAGCTTGGACTGACCTGGAGGGAGCCATATTTAAAGAAAAGATATTTAAATCTGTTGGTTTTTTTTCATTCAAGAGGCTTGGAAAGGCCAATGTTACTTAACTGTGTGCACATTTATATTTTTAAGGACAGTAAAAGGCAGCATCCCTGTCAGAAAGAATCTTCTGTTGAACTATTCAGTGTAGAATGGATTTCACTTGCTTTCAAACATTCTCCATCTTAAATGAGACAGATCACTGTGAGCAAAGTGAGAGATGTTTCAGCTATGAGGAAACCACAAAGAAAATGTAAAACCAATTACAACATGATAGTAAGGATGAAATAAAAATGAGCCATACAGTCTGTTGGAAATGGAGAAGTGACAGTGACAGGTCATACCAGTTGTAGTAGCAAACTTGTGCAGGGGCAAATGTCCAAAAACCACTATTGAAAACGAGCTTTTCCTACAACTGGCAATGGGCAGCAGCTGCATAGCATCGGTGCTTCCATTTCTAGCCTTTTTCTGCTGAGCTTTTGAAAGGATTATTTCTTTCAATGTATTTATTGTGTTTCTTTCTGCAGGTCTCTGTTATGTAATCTTGTCAAGATCAAGCTGGGATGCTATGAGCTAGAGCCAAATAGAAGTCAGTCTGCTGAAGATTACCTCAAAACCTTTATGGAAACAGAAGTGAAACCACTTTGGCCTAAAGGCTGGATGCAGGCAAGGTAAGATACCTGCTTTATATATCTATTCATTTTGGTGTTAACTATTTCTTGGGTCTTATTTACTATCATGCATGTGACTCAACCATGTGCTATTAATATTGGTTAAAACTTCAAAATATGTCAGTGGAACTGGAACATTTTAGAAGAATGAATGTTTTTCAGAAGTTAATTTTCTATCTTGTTTGCAAGTCTGAGAGCTAAAAAAAACGACTGTTTTCCTTGGAGACCTATTTGCTTTTGTCATCTGCTGGAGACTGAATTTACTAAAGTTTATAACGCAGTGCGTGATGCTTCATTTGAGGGGGAAGTATGAGGTGGGAGGTAACTGCTTGGGAAGCTCTTTCTGTGATATAGAAAGTGATAGTGATATAGAAAGCAGTTTTGCCCGTATGTTGTAAGCAGTCTGATAATGCAGTGTGACATAGACTTTAACATTATAAGCTGGAATTTCAACACCAGAGTTCACAAAATGCTAAGGTTTGTGTTCTTTATTTCCTGTATGCAATTGGGATGCTCTGTGATGCTGCAGTTAAAAATACACCAGTTTCTTAATGAAGACTTGTACTTGCTTCCTACTGACTTATTAAGAGGAAACAACCATACAAAGGGGAAAAAATAAAATTAGAGCAATGGTAATCATTGTGAAATGCAAATTTGACAAAGTTTTCAAACGCTTTGAAGTGGAAGAAGAGAAGCAAATATAGATGATGTGAGTTCTTTCCTTATGTAGCACCCATTGCAAAAGACAATTTCCTATCAAATCTTGACCTAACTGTAAAAGCTAAATGATATGACAATAGTAATCAATTTGCTCAAGAATACCTTGATTGTAGATCAGTCAAATCTGTATCAAGCTGTAAAAATAACTGTACTGAGATATTTCCTAGAATAGTCAGTGTAGAAAACGAGGGTGTAATAAGCTGCTTGTGAAATAGTAACGAAAGGAACAAATGAAGTTTTACACTTCTTGGCATACAGCTGACTTATTTCTGTTCAGGAATCTAGTTTTGTATAGTAAGTATGCTGATGAGTGAAGTGTTAATCTCTTATGAAGATTTTATTGGAGTAGACGAGACAAGGAGTCCCAGTTTAGCTTAAGAACAGATATGGAGGTCACTGATAGTGGCAAAATCGTTAAGTGATAGCGTGAGGTCATCCAAGAATACACAGAAGTGAAGCATGTTAAAACTTTGTATTTGAAAGCCATATAACATATATGGTTCTTTTCTTTCCATGCAATAAGTGTGCTGAAAATTGCCTTTTAAACTATCTATAAAAGTGGTTTCAACAAAAAAAGACAAAAAACCAAACAAAAAAAACCCCAAACAAATAAAAAACCAAAACAACCCATCTCCCCCACCAAAAATAGAAAACAAACAAAACCCAAGAGCTGTCTGATCATAACTTTCCGTTGACCAGCAAGACTTCATTTACTAACTGGGCAGTTTTGGTACCATAATGATTTACAAATTGTCCTGTATTTATGGAGAGGCGCTTCCCCGCTTTCTGTTTAGGAAGTGATGTATTGTAATTTGTAGGCAAACAGTTATGCATGGAAAGAGGAAAAGCAAGTAATTCCTGGAGTCTGACAGTGGTAACTCCTAATACAGCACATGTTATTCATATGCTGGATGCTCATCTTTTTGGGATGTTAGCATGGGGATTATCATGCTGAAGGCTTATAATTTTTTACCTTTATATGTGGCCTCAAGTGAGAAGGAGCTATATAAACTGGAAAAAAACTTAGGCATTTAATGTTAAAAATGGCCTATGGACTAAGTATTTCATAAGGAATTCTTACTAATCAGAGTAGGTCTATGGTACCAGAACTTTGTGGGTTCAGCCCAGAGGAAAAATGTCTTGCTCTTTCAAAGTTAACTGTATTTAATATTCCTCATGGCTTAGTATAGAAGCATGAGGTAAGGTATCGATCGTAACTTTAAATTGCACCTCATTCATTTGTCCATGTGTATCACAACTACCTTTGTTGCGTGAATTTTCTGTGTGTAACAGGAGATTGTTTTATTTATATTCATAGATTTAGAGAAATACTTTTTGTCCTAAAGGATCCCGAAGCCTTTTCAGATAATGTAACAGTCTGTTTTGTAACTGGGTTGCATATTAATTCTGTTTGTGTCTGAAAAAAGCCTGCAACCTAAATATGCATATGTTCAAAAAAGAAGTGTAAGGAACAGGAAGTCTGTTTCTTTTAATCCCAAGAGTTTCATCATCTTTGGAGGTGGTCATACAGGTAGGCTTGCAGCACATTTATTTTGTACAGGTCAAACAGCACGCTTGACTTGAAATCATGATCACAGTGAAACAATCTCATACTGGTCTCTCTCATCAACTTTTACATCTAAATATATGTATGCAATGGTGGGATTATTTTCCAAGCATGTTCTTGCTTTGGAACATATACTGCCTTGTCCTTCTTAGTACCATATCTTTGACTTCTGTTCCTGTAGCAGGTACACTATTGTCTTCAACCTTTAAGGATGATACTACAAATTACTGGGGCCTGGAATTAATTTTGGCTTTTCATTCCCAAATGAAAAAGACTAAGGAATAGACAAAATACCAGGAAGGAGGTGGGGAAGGAAATATGCTGGAGAAGTTGGGTAGGTCAGGAAGTGGCACATCGAACTTGTAATGAGGAGCGTTCCTTTTGCTCCATGATGTTCTTCATAGGCATTCAGTATGGAAGTTAGTATGGTGAAGAAAATGTGAAAATGGAGCTGAAAGTGGAATCTGAGAAGTAAGGCATTGGAACTGCACTGAGAGGATGTCAATGTTTTCTTACCAGATTATGTGAGATTTGTGGATACTTGAATTTTTCATAACTATTGCAGCTCTACAGGATGTGTTATCAGTGGTGAAAAGCTCATGTTTAGACAGCTGTTCGCGATGTGGTCAGTGCTAGTGTGATGGCAGTGGTATAGGAAAATCTTGTCTGTTCTAGTTTGCCTACCTGGAAACAGAGAATGGGACCAAGTTTTCATTAACTGTCTATTTAGAGCTACATTTGGGTAGCAAGCTGTAGGATAGGTACAGATCAGGAATAATTTTCATTTCCCACTTGTCAGCTCGGGAGTTGATAACATGGAAGTAAAAGCATGTGAAGTGTTGAGATCTGTCATACCAACTCTTCCCATTCATTGGCTCTGTAGTAGAATGTATGTGTAAGTCCAGTGTAATTGAAGTTGCAGAAATGGTACACAATGGCCTATACAAAACACTGAAGATAATTAGAAACAAGCTTGGCTACTGTATTCTGACTGTTTTCCTCTGTGCTTAACAAAAAAAACCCACAACAACAAAAAAACCCGAAACCAATCAAACACACCAGACTAGCCACAAAACCCAAACTGATAATCAATGTGTGGACACCTAGTGTGAAGAGTTTACAATAATCCTTAATTGGATATTTAAAATATTTCATTAGCCTTTGAGGAGAGAGAATTCAAAATGTATTTCTTCTGTCTAGCCGAAGGAGGTAATATTCTGTTATGTTGACTTCTGCTTGGCCATTTACTGAGGTATTTTGAATGTAAACCTGAAATATTTTTTTTTAAGCGTTCTTCTGTTTATGGCTGTCTGGAACTACATCATGACAGCAGTACAGACAAACTACCTACTAGCTGCTTTAGGGACAGATAATCAAAGTGTTCTTCCGAAAATTCAAGGATACTTGCTTATTTGGTGGTCATATGGTGGTTGTTCCTGTAGAATCACTTTGTTTCTTTTCTCGCCACTCTTTTAGGATGCTTTTTAAAGAAAGCCGAAGTGTTCACAATCACCTCACTTCTGCTCCGTGAGTATAATATTGACAACTTACTGGTGTCTTTAGGTTGTTGATAGGGTCTTTTCCCATCTTCATGCTACCTCTTTTTTTTTTTGGACAGAGGGGAGGAAAGGGAGATATTTTGGCATTTGTTTGAAGAGACTTACAATATTAATTTTTTTAATGGTTTAATTTAGACATATAACTGTAATGTTCTTGTGGCATTATATTTTAACTCAGTTATGAAGTGGCTAGATAACTTAAGTGGGTATTCATTCTTGGATTAACACGTTTTACTCAAAGCATTTCAAAGCACGATACACTACCTAAATTTTGCTATGCAGCATATTAAATTGAACTTGGAGACTGCAGTACTTCTTGCTCTTTTATTTTCCTCATAAATATCTCTGTAACCACAGAAGTCTGTGTATCTTAGCGCAATTTTACCTTCTTGATTTTCAGGCAACGCTATGTCCCTCTCGGGAGCTGCCTGCATTCAGCGGGATTCAAATAAACAATTATGACTTTGAATAACACCCAAATTGCAACCTTTGTGATAAATATGATTAACGTAGGATGTTTTTCTCCATAATAGCAAAACATGGTCTACCTACAGTAAGGTCTTTTTTTAACCAGGCATATTCCTAGTTGCTTAGGAAAGGAGAATAAATGACCTATAAGATGTAAATCTGTTGATCCTCTTGAAGAAATAGAAAGGAGAAAAGGTGTGAAATGCTTAACTTCTGATGGCTAATAATCCTTAACGCTGTTCTTGCTCACATAACTGCATTTGGTGCTATGGCGTTCACTTATGCTGCAAAAGAACCTGGTAGTTTGTTAAATGGCTTCTTGCAACAAACAGAAGTTAGATACAACTACTTCACAGTTCGTAAGCAACAAAACACTTTTTTTGGGGGGGAAAAAAGCAACTGTTTTTATGTGGTTTGAAATATAAATGAGAACACGAAGATACTCCTCAGTGACAAAAACATCAACGTAAAGTGAAATTGTGGAACTATCATAGATGACTTCAGTTTAGACAAAGCTCTGCTAAGCAGACAAACTCTTAAGATTATAAGAGGCTGAAATGACTTGATATTTTGAAGTTTCTCTAAATCAGAAAAGTAAAAAATAGTTCTCCTGATATATCAGGTTATATCAGTGATTCAGTGAATTTTGCTTCTAACTTACTTAGAGACACATGACAAAAAAATGGATTAAAAGTGTGCTTGTTCTCTTCCCCCCTATATTTTAACCCATTTTCTATTTCAAAGATATTTTATTATTAAAGCTGGACTTCAGTAGTCATCTTTCTAGTTTATTGGGATATAATCAGGGTAACAAAACTAAAATGACTTGCCTTTCTTTTGTCTTCTGATGAACATGTATCTCCTCTGTTTTAGGGCAAAGAAGAAGGTGATTCTGGCCCCTAAACCCAAAGTGAAGGTAAATGCTTATTTAGATATCTGAATTTTATATGACCATTTAATACAACCTGTTTCCTGCCTCTGATCCAGAAAAATTCTGGCAGAAGAGTTCCATCAGGAAATGCTGTAACAGCTTATTGACTTGGTGGTGTATTACTTTAAAGAAAGTACTACAAAAGACTTCTGTATAGCTTTGTAACTTTAAGCTGTATTAGTTTTTTTTAAAATTGACTAAGAAGAGGTACTAGTTCCTTTTAATGTGTGTTTTGTGTTTGTTTTCAGCTTGTATTAAATTTGGCAACACTGGAAAAATGTGTGGTTGGGAGGATAACATAGTAAGGTGATAGAGGTTCTCATTAGACATGACTAGGTGTTGTCTTAGTTCAGTAGCAATTTTACCTAGCGATCAGATTAGCTACCCTGTTCTTCACAGCACTGATTATTCTTAACTGTGTGGGGCACTTTTAGTTACGTGGAGCAACAGCACTAGGTTTTTAAATACAAATATTGAATCAGCACACAGGACTCCAACACCTAGATATCATAGGTGTCTTAATATGAAAATTTCAATAATAGATCTTCGGTTCATCTGAATGTACAGAATAATAGTATAACGCTAAAGAAGACTTTAGATCTACTCCAGAAAGGCTATTAAACCTGTCTTTTCTTATCTCTTCATTCTCAGGACTCCAGTCCAAAGAAAGAACAGAAAACCTGTATGTCTTCAGTCAATTCAAGTTGCGCTACTGTACTGAGTTCCAGCACACCTGTCTGCACCCCAGCCAGCTCTAGCTGCACACCAGCTCCAGAGACGATCTGCTTGGACGACTCACTGGATGAAGACCTCTCTTTCCACCCACCCTCACTGGACTCTATTTCTGATGCTCTGGCAGTTATAAATAATGGTGCCAAGGGATCACCTCTTGGGTCCACCATAGACACACAAACATCCAGACCTCGCCCTGGGCTGAGGGAAGAGAAACTAGCAAGCATCATGAGTAAGTTGCCCCTGGCAACTTCAAAGAAAGTAGAGCCCACTCAAACACCCCATTCATCAAGTCTTATTGCTGGTCATACAGGGCCAGTACCAAAGAAACCCCAGGACCTAGTTCACACTGGTATCTCTTCAGGCCTTATTGCTGGATCTTCAATTCAAAATCCTAAGGTTTCCTTAGAGCCTTTGCCAGCCAAACTACTTCAGCAAGGACTACAGAGGTCAAGCCAGATCCAAGCTGCTTCCTCCTCTTCGCAGACTCATGTTTCTTCCTCTAAGACCCAAGCAGCTATTTCCACCTCCTCTCAAAGAACCAAGGATGCTAATATCTTGGTATCATCTTCTGAGGCTCAAGGTGGTTCTTCCTCAACATCACAAGTGACAAAGGTGCACCAGCATTCAGCTGTACAACAGAAATATGTATCTCCTTTACAAGCAACTATTAGTAAATCACAGACCAATCCAGTGGTGAAATTGAGTAGTAATCCCAAACTGTCTTGCTCATCACCAGTCATCAAGGCTCAAGATAAGTCTGTAGTGTATCGCCTGCCTTTGTCTAATCCCTCATCTGGAAGCGGCTCTCAAGTGTCTCACCCACTGGTTTCTCGGACAACATCCAGCACCTCTACCTCTAGTAACTATTTAGCCAAGGCTATGGTGTCACAAGTTTCTTCCCAGGGTTTCAAGCCTCCCTTCTCCATGGCTGCCTCTCCCAAACCTGCTGCCTCTCCCAAGCCCACTGCATCTAAGCCCTCTGTGACACCCAAGCCCAACGCATCACCTAAATTTTCATCCAAGTCCACCTCATCCCCTAGGCCTGCAACAACACCCAGTTCTTCCAGTTCAAGTGCACTAGTTTCCCAGAGTAGTCACTCCAGCAACAACCCCCTTCATAAACAGACCAGTGGTGTAAATATCAGCAGGCAGTCTCCCACAATGAATTTGCTGCCCTCTAATCGCACCTCAGGCCTTCAGCCTGCAAAGAACCCTCAGGCTTCTTCAAAATTGCCCAACTCTTCTCCTTCTGGAACTGTTGGTAAAAATAATTTGGGTGGAGTTGGAATGAATGTACCTGCCAGCAGAGGCAGTAACCTTAACTCAAGTGGAGCTAGTAGGACTAGTCTTTCTGGGGGAGCAGGAAGTGGAACACAGGGTGCTACTAAACAATTGTCAACTCCACACAGACCATCTTCTGCCTCAGGGTCTCCAGTTGTAGCAGCCAGTGCGCAGGTACGCATCTAACGAGTTTACATTTAAACCTTACATTAATATTTATCACATACATTTTGTAAATATTCTTTCTTGCAATATCTTGATTTGAAAATGTGTCATAAATTTGAAGTTTATGCTTTACTAAGCGTTTATGCTAATACTGATGAAACTATTTCACATTAATGAATGTGTTTCCAGCTGATGTGAAATGCAAGGATCAGTGTGGAATGAATCCTCACTGTAAAATGTTGGTTGGTCTATGCTGTGGAACAGAATTCACTTTTGTTTTCTTTTTTCTTAAGAGCACTAGAAAAGGTAAGCTTTGTGTGGCCATATTTTCAGGGGATGTGGTATTTTCTTGCATTACTGGATTTGTGTATTTGTGCATATTTACTTGCGGTCATATGAAAAGGTGTCTTGGTACATTTGTTGCCAAGCTTCATGATTAACTTGAAAAACTAGAGTTCAGTTGCTTGTGGTTTGAGTATAATGCAAGACTTGTATTTAAAATTAACACTTGAAAGGGCTTTTCTTTAGTATTTGTGATTAAATGTATTTTATTTTGTAGGATCTAGTCAAATTGAATGAGACACGTCATTAATATATAAATATCCTAGACATTGTTTGAGAGAGAGCTTATGCAGAACTTTAGCACTGGAGATAAAACAAGTCATACAAAACAAATATTTTTAAAATACTGTTGTTCTAAAACCCATGCAAGCCTGTTACTTACCCAGAAGACAACCTGCTTTCCCAAGTTGTGCATTCTTCTTACTGGGAGTGATTTAATTACTGAGGTGATTTGAGGTTTTCCTTTATTGCCCTCTCTTAAGTAAAGTTAAGAAAAGCAATATTGCTGTAAATCAGAGTCTTGGTGTACAGCAAATGGAAAAGCTTTGTATTTTTCTGAAAAATGTACTTAGCTATTGCATGGTAGTGATGTATACTCAGCTTTTAGCAATGGTTTATAATCTTTTAGCTTGCTATCAACTTTTTCTTAATGCAGCTGAATAACAGGAAGAGGATGATTTTTATAAGGCATTTCTATGGTCTTTCATCATACTGTACCTTAAGTCTATTACAGTCAATAAGAAATGTCTGACAGGCTCTGACACAGCCTTCTCATTATTTTGGGTACTTTGAATGAAAAAACCCGCAACCCGTATGCTGTGTAAGGGCCACTGAGGTGCTGTGTAGGGCCTAGAGAAGAGCTGAGCCAGGTAGAGTGCAGCTTGAGTACTCTGGAAGGTGCTGTGGAGGAGACAACAAAGGCTACAGTGAATGGACTGGGAACAGAGTTGTTTCGTCCTGGTGCAATCAGCAGAATCCAGTGGCTACAATTGCTGTTATGTAGAAGAAAAAGTGAAATGCGTGTGGTAGTGCTTAAAGATGACGGACGAGGGAAATAAGTAGTATTGTGTTGGATGATGAGATCAATTCTGGCAAACCTTCCTGTAGTTAAAGGCAAGTAATGGTTTTTTTTTTTTTAGAAACACTGATCATCTGGGGAATGAAATGCATTTTGGCAGACAGTGATGTTGAGGAGGACTGGAGGGGGTGTGGTAGATAATCAAGTAACATGAGTGCATACTGTCATACAGCAAAATAAGGTGTGTTGGTACATAGGAGGAGGGAAATCGGCTAGAGGTACTGAGCAGCATATGATATCACTAAAATAATTATTGTGACTTTACATGTGGGTTTTTTGACACTTCAGGAGTTACTTTGATAACCTAGAAACGGTTTGAAAGAACGGCGCAAGGACGATAAACCATGGAATAAGGCTGTTGCTACTGTGCAGACTGAGGCTTAGTCAGTGGAGTACGTTCAAGAGAAGATTAGAATCAAATTACCTCCCAGTCCAAGTACACTGAAGGGGAAGAGATTTGTGATAACGGAGGGCTTTATTTAGCCTTAAGGATGTAATGGCTGGCTGCTGAACTTAATCAATTCCAGACTAGTTGTTAGGTACACTGTACTAAGGAGTTAGTTACCCCTCTTAAAACTTTGCATAAGACTGAAAGTGAATCTCCTTTCCATTAAGGGTTTAGGGGTTTAATTCCTATCTGAGGTGCTATTAATCAGTCAGAAGATGAGAATTGTACCTGAGTTGCTCATTAGAATATCCTGCGTCTGCTTACGTTGAAGATCAGACCAGATGATTTCACATGATAATAAAGATGTTCCTAACTAGGAGGAGTTTCCAAGAAGGGTTTCCCTCCTTTCTCCTTTTGATTGACATGGTTATTTACCAGTAATAGGCTTACACCTGCTGTAGCTCCACAGCAATCTTACTCTGGAATACTCTAAGTTACATCTTAGGAACACAAAGCCAAAGTAATGTAAAATTCAGCAATTATCGCATGTGATTTCCTTAAAAAGCTCTACCTACCATTAGTACTCTTGAGCAGAATCTGGCTGAGACTTCTAAGGATCTTTGACTCGGATTTACATGACGAGGATGAACCCTTTTATGAAGTACTATCATAGGTGAGATAGAAGCATCTGAACTGCAAGTCTTTTAGGGCATTCTCTCTACCTCTTTCCATCACTGGAATTCTCTCTCCTCCGTTTTGTGAGAATAAGCAAGGTCTTGGCAGAGCACACTACAAAGTTTCTTTCTGTTTTCAGGCATTTTACAAATCCACAGTTGCAAGAGATTGCTGTAGGGTTTTTATTTTGTTGCACAGTAAAGATTACATAGACAGTGAACAGTTGTCATTTTTTGTACATAGGCTTATTGTGAAATTAGTACTTTTAAAGGCAAAAGAGAATTATCACGTATGTTGAAGTTTTTAATCCATTTTTTTTTCTGCTTGCGGGATGGAGTATGTCTTGGAAGCTCTTACTCCTAAGATGACCAATACAAACACTTGCTACAAACATCACATCTGTAGTTGCTTACACTTACAGGGTTACTGTTTTAAAATTTTGTGTGTTCTCGTAAGCAGCAACTAACCTTTCTTTAGCTGCTTTCATCTGAACACCTTAAGACCAAAACTGGTAATAGAAACTTTATCCCCGCTAGGAGTTTTCATCACTTCGCGGTTTCTGTAAGTTGATATGACAGAACTCAAGGAGACTTCATTTTCATTTTAAGCTCACGTGTTCGTTAAAATGATTCTAAGTTTTGGTTTTAGTTAAGGCTTGCTTGTATAAATGCACAGGTTTGAAGTCCTGTTCAGTCTGAGTCTTTTTAATTCAAATATCTTAAAATATCTGAGCTTGAGTCTGATTCAAAATACTTCTATACTAACTGTTTTGTAGTAGATCATTAGAGAATTGAACATTAGCATATAAAATTACTATATGCATAGCAAAGGAAAGATTGTTAAAGAAGAATGAGCTGTTCTGGTGTTAGAGGAATTAATGCGATTTGGGAGCTGTTGTAGCTAAAATGTTCTGGCTAATCTTGCATTTTCATTTTTAAACTACAATGAATTTAACTCATGGTGACATATGTAGAGTGGAGAGATTATTTTCCTTTGCCTTGACATGTCCATACACACCTATACATATGTACGTCTGCATCTTGGTAACCTGCCTTCTCTCGAAGTGTGGGGGTTCTTATGTATGAACCTTAATGCTCAAAAATCATTGCTTCTAAGCAACCTCTTTAGAAGTAAAGCTCGTGTTCTGTTAAGACACAGATTTGGAGAGGGGAGAGTAATACTGTGCTTCTAAAGAACTTCAGATCTACATCTGAATGTCATATTATTAATCTAATAGAAGATGTTGCATTGGATTCTGATTGTAGACCCAGTGCATAATTAGAAAGCAGATAGAGGAAATTACCTGCAAGGCTGATGAGAAAAACATGAGAGAGGAACCATACTGGCATGTCTGAATCTGAGATGTAATTGTACTTGCTTAGCAGACAAACAGTGGGAAGACCTCCTAGGTGCATAAGTGGATATTTATTAATAGTTTAATACACTTCTTAATAGGGCCACGCTTAACAGAAAATAGTTGATTCTGTCTCCTTAAAGAATACAACTCAAAGCTTTAAAATCTTGAAGTACTCCTTTTCTTTGTACAGTCAACAGCAGGAGCATCATTACTGGCTAACGCCTCACCTCTGACTCTCATGGCATCACCCCTGTCTGTAACCAGTCAGAATGTGACATCTGCACCATTAACTCCTTTTGGGATGCTGGGTGGCCTTGTTCCTGTGACCGTGCCCTTCCAGTTTCCCTTGGAGCTGCTTGGCTTTGGGACGGACACAGCTGGAGTGACAACCACCTCGGGATCTACCTCAGCGGCTTTCCACCATAGCCTAACTCAGAGTGAGTGGAATTAGTTATCACACTGTGCTATAAGGCAAGATGCATCCCGAAAACAGAAATTAAGAAGGGAAGCAATAAAGCTCTAAGAAACTACAATTTGGTTCATGAGAATCCCGACAGGAGAGTAAATGCGATTTCTTTGCTGGTAAAACTTTGTTTATGTAATTATCCAAATGTTATGTATCGCCTTTGATAACTTACCTTCATTGTTACATTCACAGTACATATTTAGTTTTGAACATGCTTTTTTGGGTTAACTTTTAATCATCCCTTGTCTTTAGAAAGCAATACAGCATAAGTCTCCCAATGTCACAATACAAATAAAAGACTTAATATGGTGATTCCTCAAAACATCCTTAGGTCAGTAATCTCAGATATCAAACAGTTCTCTTAGGAGGAAGTATCAGCCAAGATGGCATTTATTTTTTCCAATTGCTTAAAAATAAATTCTTTAGGTTTTTAACCTATATCAATTTTTGGTCTTTCTGCTAAAGGAAATGATATGAAGAATTGCATCCCAGTAGCAAGGTGTGGTCCTTGCTCTGACTTTTGATTAACCTTACCTGTATAGGTCTGTTTCTGTTGACTTATTCCAGCCACCAGAATGCTATCAGGTATTTATTTTTTGTTGGTGAGATAAATCTTCAGAAATCTGTGCAAATTAGCATGCTACTATAGCTACACTATAAAAATAAAGAGTTCCTATTTGACAAAGGCTGCCTCTGTCCTTAAGATTTATTTTTAATCTTTGTTACTCTCCTTTTTTTCCCAGACTTACTGAAGGGTTTACAGCCAGGTGCTCAGCACACAGCAACGCTGTCTCACTCACCTCTGCCTGCTCACTTGCAGCAAGCTTACACAGGTAAAGACATTGTATTTTTCTTATTACTTATTTTTAACTTAAAAGCCAAATTTCTGCCCTAGAATGAAATAAAATCTACACCAGAACTGAAATTGGTTTAGAGAAGACACAACACGGACAAGCTTTGGTAGCAGCAGACAGTACGCATGCTATTGTAGCAGTATTTTTGGAACCTGAACAATTTTTTTTCTACTTGTCTCCAATGTCAGGAACAAAAGCATTCAAAAATTTCATTAATACTTTATTGTAGCAGTTCTAGAAACCAAAGTGTACATACTCAACCAGTGGGGAAAAAAGGAATACTACTTAATGGATGCTAACATGATTGTCTACAGGCTGCATAAAGTCTGTATTGGTGAGATTGTTTTTTCCACTCAATTTTAATTTCTCCTTTGGAGGAGAAACTGACCTTCCAGCTAGAAGCTTCTTCATGTTTCTTGTAAGAGTATATACATGTGTGAACAGTGTGATGGTTTCCTATGGAAGATCTGCCTTCCCTGGGAATTTTATCCTTGATAAGAATTGCATATTTCAACTGAGAAGAGAAGCTTGAAGTAGAACATCTCCTTTTTCTGTTTGCAAGGCTTAGAGCTGAAAAACTATCATAAAGCTTTAGAAGGTGCAGTTTAGAGTGTACTCCTTTCTTTGCCACCTGTAGGGTTTTTTGGGGGTGTTTTTTTGTTTGGTTGGTTTGGGTTTTGTGTTTTTTTTTGCCAGGAGAAGGAACAGGAAGGGTAGCAGTGGCTTGGTGGGGGTTCATCCTGTTCTCAGAGTCCTCAGCACCAAAAAACTGGTCAGTGTTGCTCTAAGAGGCTGTGAAAACAAACCAATTGGCTATATTTGGTACAACCGTGATTTTTTTTTGTCACAGTGAGTGCCATGGGTTGAATACTAAAAATACTTTATTAAAATATAAAGGCTTCTAAAGAAAGGCTTGATTTTAAATTTTTTTTCAGTATCCCAAGCTGCAATTTAATCTTTAGAAAGATGGTATCTTTTGGTATGAAGCCTGATATCTCAGGTTTCAACAGTGCTATTTCTGATAAATGAACTACAGAGAAGATGCAAAATCTTCCACCCCATAAAGACAATGTACTTTTTGATGATGCTAAAGCTGAATGTGCCAAATTCCTGTCTCTCTTGCTGTAAGTTATAAAAATAAAAGTTCACTCATGCTTTTGTTCTTCCCTTTCTTTTCCTGTCTCTAAACTACAGATGGAGGCCAAAGTAAAGGGGACACTAAGTTACAGCGGAAAAACCAGTGACTTCTGGACAAGCAAGGGAGCTGAAGCAGTTCTGGTTGGCTGACAGAATCTGCCCAGTTGGGAAAGTGCTTATTGTCACAGGGCTGCTGTTTCTGTCAATGTTTACATATTCTGATCCCAAGCACTGTGGTGAGAGGAAGAAGAAAACAATACTTGATCAAAGAGAGAAGGAAAAGGAGGACTGGTCCTCCTGGTCATGTAGACTGGTCATAGTTTGATCTTGCCTAAAGAAACAAGCTTTTTTATCTGCTCTGATTGGCTTTTAAAAGAAATTGATCGTCAAACCCACAGCAGCACAAACATTTTTTTTTCTGGGTGATGTCCAATGAAGAGTTGAAAGTGTGAGAGGAGCTAGAATAGGCTTCTCCATCCATTGTGTAAGGTGGAATCATCCACTTCATTTAGTGCCCAAAGTGCCCAGTGTAAGATTGTGTATAGGTCCTGAGCGTACTATGTGGTTGTGGACCAAAGGTTATGTAGAGTAGAGGTGGTGCTGGGATACTTTGCATTATAATTAAACCCTTACACAAACGCAGTTTCTGATACGGGCATTTTTCCAGCTTTACAAGGCTGTTTGGCTTTAGGGAGCCTACAGATGTATGCAGTCTCATTAGAGAGTTGTCTTCAAAAACAGATCTCCTGGTACATCGAGATGTGAGACACAGACTACTGGGAAATCCCTTGTTCCTTGTTTTGATATTTTTCTTTTAATATAAAGATTCTTATTTAAGGGAGGAAAGGCATGGAAATTTTTCCATTTACATGAAAAGGAAACCCACGTTTTATTGGTGAGACTAGCATTTCTTTCCCACATCTTTTTTTTTTTTTTAAAAGGCACACTGATTTTTCAGTCCTTCCATTTGTTAAACTTTCTTTTCCTTTGCCTTGTGCTTATCTGCTACTGAAATTAAGTAATGTTCTATTCATGTCTTTTATAAAACACAACCAGTTCTTTACTCATTCTAGATCTTCCTCATCTTTCATCTAACTCCTCCCAAAAGCCATGCATTATACTGATTTGCTAGTTAAAGAAAGCTGATTGTGACCTATTCCAGAGCCAGGTTAATACTGCTTCAGGCATTAGCCAAAGAGGAGTCGTTCAAAAGCGACCAGAGGTGCCTTCTCTTCTGGGGGCTGAATGGGTTGTCTCCAGCATTTTCAGCCCCTGCTGGCCTGGGGAGTTCCTGACCTGAACTCTTCCTTACATGGTAGCACAAGACTGCAAAGCTGGCTTTTTTTTTTTTTTTTTGATAGCAATACATAGACTGGTTCATTTGTAAGGTTAGGAAGTATCCAGCACATGTTGCACTTTCAACACTAGGACAGAACTTTGCTGTTGAGTCCCTTGCGCTGTCAGATAAAAGGTGAGAATGGCAGAAACTGAAACAAAGTCATAGGGGAAAGGAGCAAATAAAATGGTATGATGCCCTTCTCCTTCAACCCCGAAACATTCCTTTGATCAGAGATGCTGAAATTCGTAGTAGCTAGTCTTTCCAGTAGTTTGATTTGAGATTGAACCAGTGACTACTGGTTATCTCACACCTTCCAGAGAGACTTTGACCCATGGGTAATGAATCTTCAATGGTTTTTGCTAGATTAACTTATAGCTTTCAGGTTTCTTTTACATGTGATTTATTTTTCTTAGACCAGACGACAATTTCTTTTCTATTTAGAGCTCATTTTAATTTTATATAAATATATATACATATACGTGAATTTAAAATAATATATATTGTGTATTTAGTATAAAAATGTTGGGTTGAGCTCAGCAATAAATGTTTTTGCACAACACTTCTGTGAAAGACAGATTGAATTAAAATAAGATGCATTAGTTTGTTAATTTCACTCCACAGCATCTGCCAATTAAATGCTTTTTAGCTAGTGCTAATGTTTTGTATGTGGCATGTTGATTAGATAAGCTTGCATCTCTATCAAGGTTATTTACAGTTGAAACATACAGCTACGTAGACACTGGCATTCTTAATACTGTGCAAATTTTGTCAAAATACCATAAACTCTTTAGAATGCAAGCTTTATCTGATTTTTTTTTTTTCCTCTTTTCTCCAGGAAGGGTTGAAGAAAGACAACTTTTTGGGTTTTGAGGCCTAACAGTTCTGGGAGGATGCTAATTCTCTGAACTGTGTCAAACCTGATGCTTTTTAACAATGCATGTAGCTAAGGGAGTTGGAGCAGTGAGCCATCAGGCAGCAATATATTTAAAAGACCCTGTCCTAAGAGAGTTCTACCTCTTCTTTGTTTTCCTCATCAAGGCATCTCATTCAAATTGCCATCTTTTGTCTTCATACTTAATGAAATTTTAGATTGGGAGACTTGGATCCCTTTATAACTACAGCACAAATTTCCTTTCAACATTCCTCTCTTCTGGAAGTATGCCTCATCTTCAGTTGAAGAGTATCCTCTCTAAATCTTAAGGAGGGTAGGAGTAGTCCTGTCTGTGGCCTATCGAGCTTCTCAGTCTTGGGGAAAAAAAGTAAACTATATTTATTGTGGAAATAGTAGGATGATGAGAATAAAATTCACCGTACACTGTTCGTGAAGCCAGTTCAAACAGCGCCCCAGAGGGCAACTGTGTCCAGTCATTGTGCTCCTGAGCTTCTTTGGAATCAGCAACATAGCAATGAAAGGGTCTACATTCCCTGTTCCCTGTTCTCCCTGGTTAAACCTAGCAAGGCCAAATTAAAGGAAATAATAGGGTGGCTCCCAGAGACCTTCGCAGGTAGCATAAACAGGATGGGGAAGTGAAAGATTTCTGCAACGTCCAAATGCAAAAATAGGTTAATGTTTTACTATTTTCTGCACAGCAGCTCTTCTCAAGACATTTTCCCCCAAGTTTTTACTACTTTTTAAGGGCCTTTGTTAATAAATAAACTGTAGTTGTACATACTAAATAACCCTCAGTATTCACAAGCAATAAGAAAGCCAAGTAGACCTGTCTTTTCCAGACAGCAGGGCTGAACTTGGTTTGGGGACTGTATATGAGCTAACGCGTCAAGCTCACTGAAAGCCCCAAACAAATGCAAGCAATAATTTCAACCACAGGTTTTAGATGTTAAAACCGTCTGGGTAATATTTTCTGCTACATGATCCAAAGTCCCAAAAGTCGTGGTAGCTATTTTAAATCCTTTTGAGACACTTGCAAAGAAAGAAGGCAGGCTAGATGAAAAGCAGGCTGCAAAGTTTCCTGATACCTTCCTTGGACTATAACTGCAGCGTTCTCCCACTCCAAGACGCAAATGGCCTAAATCACTTTGTCCAGCCTTCTCTGTTGATTTGAGATACATGACTAATACTGATCAACTAAGTCACAAGTGTGGATGCTGTGGGTTTCACATCTGTTTTCTGCTAATCAGAAGTAACTTTTAATTACCTGGGTTCTGCTTCTTGTTTGAATCCGATCAAAGTTGTCTGATGCACAGATTTGGGGGTAGGACAGGTGCCAAGAGCCTGTTTCCTTCCCACAGTCCCATCACCTGACCCTTCCTCCACACTCCTTCTCCACTTGGTGCAAGACCCTTGAGGACATGAAAACAGAGAAATCCTGCAACTCTCCCAGGCTGCCATCAGTTGTGTGAACCATTAACCCTCTGGGAGTCATCTTGGACTCCAACTAACTTTATCACATTTGCTGCTACATTCGTAAAATGAACTTTTGGCTGTATTTATTAGCAAATTTTAATCTAGTTTACAGTTTGTTTGGTTTTCTTTTGAGTAGTTTTTGCCCAGATGGATTAGAAGTGTTGGGGTGTTTGGTTTTTTTTTTGTTTTGTTTTTGAGTGAATTGGTGAAGGCACAGTGGTCCCTCTTCTGCTTTTGTTTTGGACTTTTTTGAAGATGGCATTGCAGGGAAGACCTGCAGCCAAGCCAAGCTGTGGAAGGCTTCCTCCCACATCTAACTTTCATCTTCTGCTGAATTGGGGGGAAATCATTAAAGGGACACTTGCTTTTTGTTTGGGTTTGGGTTTTTTTTTTTTTCCATAAAATGAACCAGAAGGTGAAAGCAGTAGGTAAATGACTGATTAATTAACACTTTATGCAATTTTAATTTTATAGAAATTAAAAAAAGATTGGTAGATTTTGATTGGTCCTAGCTCTGGTGAAATGGCTGTTACCCTCCATGACTTACTTGATTCAGGCCTTTGTCCTTTGTTTAAGTGCCTTTTTTTTTTTTTTTTTTAATTTTATTTCCCTACCCTCTTTAAACTGTTCTCAGAGATCCTGAAGTGCTGGAAGGCATTTTGGAGGAAAATCTTAAGCTTGCCAAGATGGCTTTATGCTGTCATACTATTTTTTTCCCTTTTGTAAACAACAAAAAAAGTGTGTAACGTGTGTAACTTCATAGCTGCTGTACCATGGAGTTGGTTCTGTGTGCTTGTGCATTCTTTCTCTCTCACACTCACATACGTGCGCACACACACATATACAGCAATATTCCTGAGAAACCTGTTCATCCTTCTGCGTTCTGCTGGCTCTGTTAAACATTTTACTTAAAGGTGAACGTTTGTGCAAAGATGGCAGTACAATAAAAGAGTGTGTGTGTGTGAGTGTGCATAAATGTGCATGAGAGAAAGGAAGTGGCTAATGGGAATGAAACTTCTTGCATTTTTCTTTGAAGGTTTTAAATTTGGATCTTAATTAGGTCATGAGTAAAGCATTATGGGCCCTGTCTGGCAAACTTATTAAATACTGGACCACTTCACACCATTACTGAGTCTGAGGCAAACACGTGTGGCTGACAACCCCAAGGAGGTGGGGGGAAAGAAGTTTAAAATAGCAGTTTGCAACAAGGTTGAGTTGAGATGAATTGCAAGGAATCTTGTGTGCGGCTACTTACATCTGCTTGACACCAGTTATTGCAAGGATTCTCACATTTACCAAAGTTGTCACTTTCTACTGGGCATCGTATGTATGAAGGAATTTGGTAAAACCTGCAAGAGTGCAGCTGCTAATTGAAGTTAAACCTGGCTACGCTTCACATGCTGCCTAAATCATTCACCATGAAGTACTTTTCTAGTTGTACTTTTTCTCAATTTATTGAGATTGCATTAATGGTTTGTTCTCTTAATATAATGAACAGTAAGTTCATGTGTTGTTAGCTGCAAGTGAACCCTCATAATAGTGTCCGTGCTTGTTTCCTTGTTCTCTGACAAAATTAGCAATCTGCAATAGATTATCTAGTGATTTTAACGATTCTGTGCCGAGGATCTATCTAACTTATGGTTATTGTAAACATGCATACCTGAAATTAGCAATTCATTTGTTGACCAAATGCTAAACTGAAGGTAACATACGTACGCAGCACTAGACTATGCTAGTTCTGTGATGTGCTTCCCCTGGGGAAGATCTAATTTTGAGTTACAGGATGAAAAGGAAGCATTTACTTTCTGGAATGGGAACGGAGTGAAGAGTCCTTCATAAGCGGAGAACCCATCT